AAATGAAGTGTATGTCTACCATAAGGTTAGAACATTCATGGAAGTTAATCTTATTTACGCATTTCAATATTTGTTTTTTCTGATACTAACTGTAGCCTCTTAATCAATTTGCAGGAAATCTCTAGACCTGTGACATGGCATAGATTTGGGTCACCCGATTTAGATGATACCGATGAAGATGCAGGATCTTACTTCATCAGTGCTGTATGTTGGAAGAGTGATAGTCCCACTATGTTAACGGCCAACAGTCAAGGAACGATAAAAGTGCTAGTACTTGCGGCTTGATTAACTTGGAAGAGAAGGAGATTGAAGAGTAAATTATTTGAATTTATCTTTTGTACCATTATGAATCATTTACGATTGAAGGTTGAAAATAGAAAGATGTAATTGGTAGGCGATGGTAGACTGTAAATTTTACCATTTTGTATGTATTTAAATGCACAGGTTCTGAGCAAGTTGTATTGTTTACGTGTTGATTGATGATGTACCAGATCCTTTACACTGTCAAGCAGGCCAAATTTAATTCTGACGTAACATTCTCTCTAACCGCAGGTGAAATAGACAAAATCTGTACATCTTTGAATTAATGATCCCATGTATGTTCCTCCAGAAGTCAAAGTTGAAACAGTGATAATTAAGAGGGATCTCTAGAAGACAAAATTATTGTTAAATGTGATTGATTTATTTACACTATGTATATGTGCAAGAGAGAGACCACGCGAATTGTGGGAGAAGATGAAATGAACCACCACCAGCTGGTAAAAAACAATTAAACGAAAAAAGTCATGTGTACGTAGAGAATCTCTACAAACTCTGAATTAAGGTGATGCTCTCTAATTAAGTGAAATACAGTCATGAAAGTTGCTTACCATTTACAAGCAGCATATAAATGGAAGAGATGAAAGGAGATCCCACAAATGTGTTCATGCTTTATAAATTATAATACAACGTTAAGAGCAACGTTTAAACAACAAAATTTCAAGGCAAAAATTTGTTTCATCTTCGCATACATTTAACGAGGACGAAGAAGAGAAACCATTCACACACACAAGTGTTTACTGTAACATGTACACAGAAACCAACTATAAAATACCTCATGTAGTACACATAAACCAACAGCTCTGACCTCACAACAAGTTTATTCATTCCATTTAGAAACACTCACAAAATAGCATTTAGTAATTAGAATTATACAGGAAGAGACCGACTGTGTTACAAGAACAAAATGCTATTCATTACATCTTGGAAGCAAATATTAAAAGGAAATAAAAACACATAAACAGTGAGACAAGCGAATAACAAAATTGAAAAGAATGGAAAGATTTGTACAACGGTATGATATATCTCTCTCGTTTAAACCATTTTGAAGGGTAAAAAGAGTGATCATGACCTAAATCTTCGATACTCTCGGACTTGCAAGGTCAAGAAAACTCGAACGGCCTTCATGAGGTTGAAAGAAGACGAGAGAGGACATAAGAAGAATAAGCTCAGGAGAGATATCGCCAATACTTCTACAGTAGGACAGACGTTTCACTATGATGTTGAACTAAAACTAAATGAAGGAGGAAGTTCATTATAACCAAGAGAAGAAGAAAGGGTTGGTACAGCAAAAGATGAGTCATGGTTATGACCCAGATGATGCATAAGAAAGTAGAATAGAAATAGTAGTCTGTGGAGCAAAAGGTTCTTAAGGTTGACCAAAAAAAAGAAGAACAGTGACATGAAAAAAGAGGAAGGTGGAGTAGGTATATTTATAATCAGATTCAGTGACTTTTGCATTCTATTCTACCTTTACCTCTGTCTCTGCGTAGTAAGGTATAATTGACTGTTATTAAAACAGTAGAGGGTTGATGGGTCAATTTATACAAAGGAAAGGACACGACTGATAATGAGAGTTTGTTTTCTTGGGATACCATACCATACCAGTATCACCTCTTTTCAAATTCTCCCATTATCATTTCTCATATTTCTCCTCTCAAACAAACGAGTTCTGCCTTCTTTGTTACTCATGTATGAATGACATAATTTATCTTAACATATATTTAGACAAGTGATTAAAGAGAAGATCAATAGTTCATAATAATAGTGTCTGATATTTTGATTAACCCAGAAAGGTATAACGAAATTTCTGAGTTTAAGCACATATAAAATTGGAGTTAGAAGAGGTCAAACGAGAGGTTTATGCATTAAATTAGTAGTTATAAAAAGGGGCAGTGGTAGGGTTTGACCAATGAATTAACTGAGCTTATAAAACATTATGGTAATAACGTATATGTATGTATTCCCAACGAAGAGAAAAGTAAAAAGTGAGGCCACCAATTGAAAGCTGCAAATGCTGAGAGAAAAGGAAATGACATAAACAAAACCCAAGGGATTTAGCTGCAAATGGTTGTCTCCATTCTCCAACAAGTTCCAGATTCAGTACTGCTCCTTTTGTCCCTCTCTATAAATTTTCCAATTTCATTATAAGCCCAATGCCTCTGATTCCCATGTCTTATGTAATAATTAGTCTTTCAGAGCAGTGGGGGCCTCCGTCCACTGTTAGGTCAATCTCACATGCCCCACCCCCCTCTCATTTATTATTTTATTTCCCAACAAATATTTCACCACCAACACTAAGGTTAATATATCTACCCCTCCAAATATTTATTTTATACGACAGTCCCTCTCATTTATTATTTATTTCTCTCCTCAATTCGGTTTTTGTTATAATTTTAGTGGTATAAGTGTAATAGATTAAAGAGGCCTAAATGTTAAGAAAATAAAGTTGAAGGGGGCTGCATACTTCTTTGCTTTCTCACTTAATTGCTGTGGTAAAGATGGAAGGGGAGGGGAGTTTTTTTCGCCAAACCCCTTCCTCCATTCACCGCCTCAAAGTTAAGACGGTGGATGACCATTTACAACACTCTCTCTTGGACATCTACCACTTACAGATAATGTGTATTTAACCTACTGAAGAAAAACCTAGTAGAAAAAAAAAAAATAAGTAAAGAAATACAACTCTATTGTAACGTGAAACTGGACGTGCTTCATACTGTCTTATTAAAAACTTTGTCAAGAAAACCCAATGGGACAAAACTTGATCAAGGAAAAAAGAGTACAATGCACATATGTCCAGTACAATAAACTTTTCGAACCAACCCCCCCTGGCCCCCCCCCCCCCCCCCCAAAAAAAAAAAAACGATGCTCTCTTGATCAATGCTCCCCCTCATAATGGTAGAATTAATTTAGTAACTTATTGAGCCGCCGCATATCGATGTTATACACTAACTTTTCAAATGTTGATGTCGGTAAGGCTTTATGTGAATAAATCTACAAGATTATCACTAGAGTGTATTTGTTTGACATCAATCTCTCGCTTTTGCTAGAGTTTGTGAGTGTAAAAGAACTTCGGTGAAATATGTTTGGTTCTGTCTCCTTTGATATATCCTCCCCTGACTTGGGCAATACATGCTACAATGTCTTCATTTATAATCGTGAGAGCATCTGAGGTAGATGACAATTTGCATATACTTTTAATATGATGGATGACAAATCTTAACTGTCCGCATTCTCGGTTAACTTCATAAAACGCAAGAATCTCGGAGTGGTTGGAGGAAGTAGCAATCAATGTTTGTTTTGTAGAGCGCCATGATATTGCAGTACCATTATGAGTGAAAACATATCTCGCCTGCGAGTGAACTTTGTGAGGATCGGAAAGGTACCCAACATCTGTATAGCCAACCAATTTAGGATCTTTAACAAATTTCCTTGGATAAAATAATCTCAAATCTTTTGTTCCATTGAGATAACGAAAGACGTGTTTGATCCCATTCCAATGTCAATGAGTTGGTGCAGAGCTAAACTTTGCCAACATATTTATTGCAAATGCTATGTCTGGTTTCGTACATTGTACGAAATATAATAATGTACTTATTGCATTTAGATACGGTACTTCAGGACCAAGTATCTTTTTGTCGTTTTCTTTAGGACAAAATGGATCATTTTTAGAATCAAGAGACCGAACTACCATTGGGGTACTCAAAGGGTGAGATTTATCCATATTAAATCGTTTAAGGATCTTTTTAGTATAATTTGATTAATGGAACAAAACTCCATTTGAACAATGCTCGATCTATAGGCTGAGATTATATTTTGTTTTCCCCAGATCCTTCATTTCAAATTCTCTTTTTAGTACTCAGTAGCTTTTGTGAGCTCTTCAAGAGTCCCTATTAAGTTCATGTCATCGACATATATTGCCACAATTGCAAATCTTGATTTTGACATTTTTATAAAGACACACCCTGACATACAGGATCACTGATGTATTCTTCCTTCATCAGATATTCACTAAGATGATTATATCACATTCGTCATGATTGTTTCAACCCATATAACGATCTTTGCAATTTTATTGAATACATGTTCCTTTTATTTGCTTCTAGCACTTTGAATCCTTCAAAGATTTTCATATAGATATCAATATCCACTGTACCATACAAATACGCAGTGACAACGTCCATGAGACACATATCAAGTCTTTCTGAGACTAATAAACAAATTAAGTATCAAAATGTGATAGCATTCATCACTGGTGAATACGTCTCATTAAAGTCAATTCTTGGTCTTTGTAGGAAACCTTGAGCCACTAGTCTGGCCTTATACCTAGCAATCTCATTTTTCTCATTTCATTTCCTTGTGAATACCCACTTGTATCCTACAGGTTTCACGTTTTCAAGCATTTAGACTATAGGTCCAAATACTTTACGTTTTGTTAGGGATGTTAATTCTACTTGAATTGCCTCTTCCCATTTTAGCCAATCATGTCTTTTTCAACATTCATCAACATAACGTAGCTTAAACTCATCATTCATAATTCCAATAGTTACTGCGTATGAGAATACGTTATCGACAATAGTTGTCTCACGATTCCCCATTTCTCTAGAGTGAGCATAATTTATAGAAATTTCTTCATTTCTATGTTCTTGTATTACTTTAAGGATTTATTCCTCTTTAGGGGCTTATGTCCTTTCAGGGATTGTTAACTCTTCCGGAGTTAGTTTAGAAGATGTGGAATTGTTAATTATTCCAATATTGTCAATATTGGCACCTATTTGATTCTGTGCCTTTCGTTTCCTAGGAACAATATCATTGGCTTTAATAAGCCTACCACGCTTTTGGCGTGTAACAGATGAATCAATCGTTGCCCGTATGGATTGTTCATTGGTAACATCAATCCTTGTTGGTGTATTAACAACAAGATTGTATGATCTCGTTATTCTTGTTGCATCTGCAAATGCATCAGACATTTGATTGACAATATTTTGTAAATGTGTTATTCTTTGCACTTCAATTTCAAATTGAGATGTGCGAGGATCTAAATGAGACATATAGTTTACTTTCCAAGAAAGTTCAAGCCTTACTTTAGGAGGCTTTACCTTTCCCCCTAAACGAGAAAATTTTGTCTCATCCAAATGGCAATCCACAAAACGTGCGATAAATAGATCACCCATCAGGGGCTCAAGATATTTGATGATGGATGGTGAGTCATAGCCAACATATATTCCCAAATGACGTTGGGGTCTCATTTTGGTGCATTGAAGGGGTGCAATTGGAACTTGCACAGCACAACCAAAAGTTTTTAAATGGGATAATATTAGGTTGATGTCCAAATACAAGCTATATTGGAGAGTATTGATGATATGTAGTAGGTCTTAGGCGAATTAATACCGCAACATATAAAACAACATGAGCTCAAGCAGAAGTCGGTAATTGCATACGTAATAGCAAAGTTCTTGTAATTAATTAGATACGCTTTATAAATGACTCCACTAAACCATTCTGGGCATGTAAATGTGGTACTGGATGCTCAACATCAATTCCCATTATTGTACAATAGTCATCAAATGTTTTGAGGTAAACTCACTAGCATTGTACATACGCATTGCTTTAATTGGGTAATTTGGAAAGTGTCTGTAATCTGATAATTTTTGCTAGCAATCTAGCAAAGGGAACATTACAGGTTGATAGTAGACAAATATGTGACAATTGTACCAATGCATCAATCAATACCATAAAATAGTAGAAAGGTTCACTTGCTGGATGAATAGGTCTACATATGTTCCCATGAGTTCTTTGTAAAAATGATGGGGGTTCTAGACCAACTTTAGTGATGGATGGCTTAAGTACCAATTTGCCTTGTGAGCAAGCAATACAAACACTCTTATTAGGTGACAAAATCTTCAGGTTCTTTAATGGGTGCCTATGTGAGTTTTCTATGATTCTACGCATCATAGTGGATCCTGGGTGACCAAGGCAGTCATGCCAAATCTTAAAAAGTTAAGGATCAGTGAACTTCTGGTTCATAACTGCATAGACTTCAACATTCTTCAAGAATGTGTAATATAACCCTTATGCGAAAGCATGGAGTTTCTCCAGTACATGCTTCTGGCATGAAATATTATTAGTGATACATAAAAACTCTCAATCCTTTTCACTTAAAGTTTCAATGTGGTATCCATTGAGTTGTATATCTTTGAAACTAAACAAATTTCTTCTGGATTTGCTAGAATATAAAGCATCATGGATACTTAATTTAGTTCCGCTTGGTAACAAGAGTGTTGTTCTTCCGAAGCCCTCAATTATGTTTGCAGATCTTGATATGGTATTTATTTTAGCCTCAATAAAGGTCAAACCTGAGAAATATTTTATATCCCGAAGGATGGTGTGCGTTGTTGCACTGTCTACTATATAGATGTCTCTACCATTACTTGTTTCAATTCTAAAGTCCATCTTCAGAACTTCAGGTTCCGATATCAGAATCTTGAAACTTCAGATTTTAAGATCAAAATCAAAATTTAAAATTTCATCCTCATGATATGGAACTTCAGGTACATTTTTGTCTCCGTTTTACAAACTTCATGTTTGTAATTAGTATTTAGAACTTCAAGTTCTAAAATGATATTTATTTATGGAACTTCAAGTTCATTTATCAAATATAATACGGAAGCACAATTACTGACATTGGTTATCGAAAATATACAAAAAACATATCCAACTCTAAAGGTTGTATTCAACAAGAATAAACAGATCCGACCATGGAGGCGATATTCACAATAATAAATAGATCTAGCCATAGAGGTGGAATTTAACGATAATAAGTAGATCTGACCATAAAGACGAAATTTAATAATAATAAGTAGGTTAGACTATAAAGATGGAATTTAAAAATAATAAATAAATTCAGCCATAAAGGCGGAAATAGAGATTAAAGAACACATGTAGGATCAAAATACTTACTTGAAAATGAGGATGCAACGTTACACTTGTAAAGCTCTTCGTGCTGATATAGTGTTATAATTTTAGTGGTATAAGTGTAATAGATTAAGGAGGACTAAATGTTAACAGAATAAAGTTGAAGGGGGCTATATATCTTTTTGCTTTCTCACTTATTATAGCCAACACCCCCTCCCCCGTTCACCGTCTCAAAGTTAAGGCGGTGGATGGCCATTTACAACCGTTTTTATTTAATTTGAAGAGGGTTGGTTTGAAAATTGAATGCATGAATTTCCAGATTGGTGTTAAGGGTGTCAATAGTAGAGAGCAGCAGGAAGCAGAACAGCCCAGGGATGATCATCATAACCTGTAATATGTGTAAGTGGTCATCATGAATTTCCTTCGTCGTGCCCTGTCACCCTACTTTTATATTTGGACCCCACATTTCCAATTATCTGCAATTCGGCTCTATTGGGTCAATAGGTCAGCTCAGTCTCAGTTTCTTTATCTCTCTCCGAAATGGACAAAAATTAAACACCGACTGCAAATTAATTTTGAAATAGTGCAATGTAGTATGTACAGACTACAGTACGACTGTCTATCCACACCAATTTCAATTTCAAATGTGGCAACTTAAAACATTCTGTTTGCTCTGCTGAGTAGGAGTCAACTTCATCTACCACAACCTCTGGAATTGAGCTGGTCTACTTTTGCCTTTGGGCTTTATAAAATGTGTAATGGCCCAACACACTGGTCTATTATTCTCTGAAGACAAATAATATTTACATATCCCTATGAAAATATGATGAGGTAAAAACCAACATAGCTGGGAAAATAAATAAATATTTATCATATAAATATGAGCTATGATTATGAATGCCTGCAAAACTACAGATTATGTTCACAGAATAATCAACTTAGCTGAATACAAATAAATTCGAGTGCCCAGTTAATATATTACGAGATAGAAGATAATTACTTTAGTTAATTAATTGATTAAAGATCTGGAGAATGAGTTTAAATTAAGTAGTGTTATTGCGAATAGTGGAAACAAATTAAATATTATCATCTTATAAGCAGAAACTTTATCAGGTAGGTGATGAATTATATGACATAGTTTGTTTGGTGTGGATACCTATCTCAATTTCTCTTCATTATTGATGCAAGTGAGTCAGCTTTTCAAGAAAAAAATAATGCAGCTCCCATCTCTAATATTCTCCAATTAAAGCAACCAACCAACTTTGCGTGCAAAAACCAAAATGGGTTTAGCTATAGCTACAACAATCGCAAGTCTAATCATACATTAATTTACACAGAATTCGTCAAGCTGTAGCTTCAGATCAATAATTTTTAATCTAAGTCGTTTACTTTAGCCAATGATTTAGACCACGTTAAAGACTTTTTCTTTCGCAAGACTTGCAGGAGCAAGCAACCTGTGAACTAATTTAAAATATACAAGACATGGTAGCTTGAATGAGTTTTGTTAATTAACGGGGAAAGATCCTCATGTTCAGAAGCAATTAATTTCATGGGATAATGAACACGTAATCATAATCTGTTGGTATTGCTAGCTTATACTATGAAATCATGCCTCAATTTCAATATGTCGGTTTCATTTTCAAACTCTTTATGATGTAGAAGACTTCAAAGCATTAAGTAATTTGTAGAAGAAAAAATGACTTTATTCAAGGTAATTGACATAAGCTTATCGATTACGTAACGTTTAACGTACACATACCAAAGAAGCTTGAATAAGATTAAATAAAAGCCAGTTTGAAATGCCACCTTATCCAAAAACATGCAAGTCAAACTTGTTTGGTAAAACATATCTATATTAAGAATCATTTGACATGTCTCTCACGAAACTCAAAACTGCGCGCAGAGAGGCTTCATTATTTGTGTGTTTCTTCTTCAACTCCAAGCTCAGATATAACCATTGGTTTAATTAAGTCAAATTATACACATATATATTATAGCACCCTGTTGGTTTTCAAGTTCTTAATTGCCGTGGAGATGGTATAATTCAAACGTTTAGACATTCATTTTTTGACTTTATATTTGTTATGATTTTCCATTTATACTTTTTGCTTGATCTCGATCCATCCAGATGAGATCATAATATAATATATCAAAAACTTTGGTTTGAATTGATATAGAGACAATGAAACCCCCCAACTATTTACGATCACATTTGAAACAATTTAGCATGCATGGCTATCCTATACATGCCTTTATTAATCAACAACCAACACGAAACATGCATCCCTTTACTCACAATCACAAATCGTCATTTTTGGCACTGTGACCTAAATCCATCGATTCTCACCATAATAATTAACAAGCAAGAGTCATGTTTCAGTTTCAAATTAAAACATTTTAAAACTATGGTCTATATTATTTTAATGTTTGGTCGGTCTTCAAGTGCTAGCTAGTATGATAACGAGACTTCCATTTAAGATCATTTTTAGTGGTGGGAGTTCCAACAGTTTCTGTCCACCACAAATCCAGTGTTTCAAAAGAGCCTGTCTTCATACGTAACATTCATCCCCTCTTTTTATTTTAACAAAAATATTCGGAAAGACAGGCAAATATTTTGAATGAGAATTTATTCAAGGGATATACCCTTAATAAATCAATCAAATATTTGACATTATTTATTTGTTTGCTCACATTGTATGATTGATACCAAAACGAATCTAATTATATTATGCAAATCAAATGGTATTACAAAAGCTCGACTTGTTGGCTGCCCACTGACGTTCAATATCAACCAACTAAACTGCGCAGGCACTCAACAAAATGAACGAACCACTAATTATATAATAAGAAATAAAAACATAGAGAGTGGAAGTGCTTTTTCAAGTCACGATAAACACTTTTAATGCAAGTGGTTAAATTTGAAGTCATTAATCTAAACAGAGGTTGACTCTATACTCTTCGAAAATATACACATTTCTACCTTTATGACAAATTTGTGGTTGCATATTTAACAAGGAAGTCAAGCATCTGTCATTGTAATTACCCTATTAAGAAGAACGTATTCTTCGGGTTTCTATTATAAATCCGACACCTAGCTCCTTAGCTCAAGCATCCACACAGCCACTTTTCAGTCTGCTAAATTTAGAAAGGATTTTTCATATACAATACAAAAATAATCAAATATGTATTCATCTTATAACAATAAAATACGTTTGCTACTGATATTTCCTTCGTAGAAAAGGAAAATGCTAGTGAGGTGACAATGGATAGTCGGATGGATGTTTTGGTTTATAATAAATTTAAAAGAAAGTTCCATAAATAAATAAAAAATGATGAACGGAGTGAAGGTTCAAAGTAAGTGAGTAAGCAGCCTGATCATGTCATAGAATGGAACAGAAAAAAGAATCTCAGTATCTTCTCCATTCAAAGTTCAAACGAAGCGGCTACCACTATCACTGGCACCCCATGTTCCTTTCTGTTCTTTTCGTTCTCTTTTGTTTTTATATTTTGGATGGTGGGGTTTCAATTTCAAATCAATAGCACCCACAGACTGACCCCACCAAGCCCACATGCCCCGACCCGGATTCAACCCCAAAAGTTATTCAGCCTCCTCTTTTCTTTTAATTTGCAAGGACAGATTTCTCATAGTGTTGCTCCATTTTGAAAATGAATTTGAGATGAAGGGATAAATCCCTAACATATGGTAAACTTTGCAAAGGGGCGAGGAAGAAAGATCCGACGACACATAAAATTAAAACAATAGCAATAGCATAGAAGGAGGCAGGAAGGAAACACCAAAAACCAGCAAACAAAACAAAGTGGAAAAAGCATAAAATAGTTGGTTTATGTGAACTTTCCAACCAAAGTACGTGGCGCACGGCTTTCGCATCCCGACCCTTCACATTCTCTCCCCGCATATTCCTGAGAATGTTCTCTTTCTCCCTTTTTTTGGTTTTTTTCCCTCGATTAACTTACCACTCTTATTATCACAAATAATCATAATCTCGTAACTTATCTACGCTGTGGACCTTCACACCCTTGTTTCTTTTTGGGCCCACTCACTTACACATAAGAAAAGGCATGAAAAAGGCCGCTGATCAAATTCTGTGGCTCTGATTGATGGTCCCAATTGATCAAGTGTCTGATATTTTTTATCACATTAGGGAAGTGAAATGGGTGTGGTGGCAGGGGAACATTGCCTTAAAATTTGGGATATAAAGACATTTAGTTAGGACTTAGGAGATGCAAGTAACACGCGCATGTTGGGATAGTCGGAAGCACGTCCCCTTCACCTTCAGTAGATCCTTTGGTTCATCATTTTTACACTATCATATTTCATTATTCTTATCCTAAAAACTAAAAAATGTATTTATTTCAATATTTTCAAAATCCAATTATATTTTATTCAACTCAAAACATTAATAATTAAATTTCTCATAAAAATAGTTTAATTCAACTCAACTTTATTGTAAACTAGTAAACCAAAAAAAACCTATAAAATACAAGTTACTACTTGCAATGTGCATTGTAATCTACATTTCTCACCTATCTTGGAATTTGATAATGACTTTTAAACTAATTTTAGAAAATAAAAATAATTATTTCTAGAAAATAATTACAAATTTGACAAAATATAATTGAAGTCAACGTAAATACATGATAATTAAAACGTAATACTGGAGTAGATACAATAAATCTAGAATTAAATTTAAATAATTTGACTAACATGTTAGTGTGTGTAGGCATTTGAACAAACGAAGAAGTAAAGTGTCACTGGCTAATGAGAGTTTTGTCAGGACACGCTTTACTAACACGCGTGTGCGTGACCAACAGCCATTTGTCACGACTTCTCATTTGTGTAATATATTGACCTAATTATTAATTGATAAATCCCAAACTAAAAACATAAATATATAAACAGATTACTTTTGCTTTTCCCTGCCCCCTCTCTCTATATAAACTAGACCCACTCCATGATCACCACACCACCACCATTAACTACCAGCGCCACCAGTGTTTTAACTGTCAAAAAGTTTCAAGTATCACAACCCAGAACACATTCTTCTTGATCCCATATCCTAACTTTCTATCTCAAAAATTATTATGAAACTGCTAGGCAACTCAAATAAAGAACAACAACAAGCCGCAGCAGAAGAAGAAGACATGTGTAGAACAATTGAAGTCGCTTCTGTCGTTGACCTCTCTTCGCCGCCGGTAGCGCCTCCGGTCGCCGGAGATGACCTCAGTCTTATTCCACCCTTAAACTTCTCCATGGTCGATAATGGTATCTTCAGGTCTGGCTTTCCAGATTCCGCCAACTTCACCTTTCTCCAAACTCTTCGTCTTCGCTCTATCATGTAAGCATACTCACTTTATTCATATTTGGTTTAGCTTAGTTGTAGGTGATTTTAGGTTTATGTTTTGAATTCTTTGGTGCAGATATTTGTGTCCGGAGCCGTACCCAGACTCCAACATGGAGTTTCTTAAGTCCAATGGTGTTAGGCTTTTTCAGTTCGGGATTGAAGGCCATAAGGTATATAGCTTTACTTTTTTAGCGGATAAATTTTCAGGGAATATTATATTTGCAAATATATACATAAACAAAAGCCTTCCAGTATTGAAGCTTATCGTTGCTCAAATTGTGTTGACTAGAGTTAACCTTATAAACAATCGATACTCAAATATTTAGCGATTTAATTGCCTTGATTTGATTGAGCTCTTTCTGCGTGAAGGTTTAGATTTCATCATTTTATGGACTTAAATTTAACCTTCAACCAGAGAAGCTGAGATTTGTTTAGATTTTATCATTTTAAGGATTATGATGGTATTTGAATAATAGTTCTCTTTAATGTGACATTATTAGCTTTAACGCTTAACAACTAAATTATTGCATTTTGTTGTATAATAAACAAATTATTGGTATGCTTTTAATTGGATTCAGTGCTGCATTTTGTGATTATAATAAACAAATTATTGATATGCTTTAAATTGGTTTTAGTGCTTACAATTAGTAGCTCTTCTTCTTCTTCATTTTTTTTTTTTTTTTTTTTATTCTGTGGATGTGTGCTTTACACAAAGAAGTCCATGGTCGGAATTAGAGATCAAATAGATGGAATCCTTGCAAAATGGCCAACATGTGAGTGAATTTCTGATTATGTTCTACACTTGTCACATGCATATGTCCTTTTCCTTATTATCTTCTCATCAATACCTTCAAATAAAATGCATATTATTTTTTAACAAAATGCCTTCCAATAAATTGCATCAATCAATGCTCAGTCCACTATTCATAGGCAAATTGAAAAACGAAAGAAAAAGCATCAATTCTTTGCTTCCCCAATATGAAGTCTGCATATGTATGTGATTGGAGACCTTCATTGTTTTATTATGACAATTTTCGTTTCTTTTTTCACTTAAAAAATACTTCATAGTGTTAAATATATCAACTTGCAAATACGTGCTTTATTTGTGAAGGATGATCCTAATAATCAAATTATGGTCACCATTGTTACTAAGCTTACTCAAATGTGTGGTAGCTGAACTCCTTCCGATTTAGGAATACCATTGTGACCCCTTAACCAACCCTTTTGTTATTAGCTAAACCTTATAGATGGAGTTCAAATTAGATTTGTAATTGCTTTTACGCAAGTTGAAAAAGTGAAAACTTCAAATGTGGAAATGATATATCTTTAACACATATTTGTACTGTCCTATATGCTTTCAAATTGAGTTGAATTCCATTTAAGTAATCATGATCTTTGAGAGCTTAATTTTCATCTAAGTTATCATCATATTTTAGTTGGGTTAGAGCACAGTATCCTCTGATAAATGTTAATGGAATTTGCACTCAAGATTTTTAAAAGTTCTTAAAAAAAGTCTGTAGGTCTAAGCAAGTGACAAGTTACATGATTTAAATTTGAAATTTGAAATTTGTTTCTGACATGTTGAGGACATTCTTGGAATTTAGAGCTAATCTAGTTATTTGTTCTTGTTATATACTTTGGAGATCTGTATCGCGACAATCACTGAGTAGGTAGTTGAATTACTATGATAAGAGAATCTGTAACGTAACTGAGTAGTAATTCATCATTTTTGTAAGTATCCTTGCCTAGAATGTCATTGTAGGGATGTTTTAAGAAGACTTGTATTGCATAAAGACCTTAGTAGAAATTCAACTTTAATCTTAGCCTTACTCATGAAAAATCCGAGAATTTCGCCACTTTAGTGTAAGGAAGTCAAACCATTTTCTTCTTTAGCATCTCTTATTTGTTTAATAAAACAAGATTGTGTTTTCTTGAGATAGTGATAAATTGTTAGCACAAAAGTGGTGATGGTTGAAAGGTAAAGTGAACTTTTGCCTAAATTCGGGTTACCCTAGAGGATGCTAGTAATAAACATTCATTTTGTCATGAAGGCAATGGTTTTCGTGGTTGATCCAGTAGTTGGCTAACCCTTATGTATTATAACACTAATGCTTATATGGATATAATCTGAGTTCAATTTTTTTCAGGATGTTAGATTGATGAGTACATGGTAATGCATCTAGTTAGGTTCTTTAAATGTGATATTGGTCAGTATGTTTTTGATGATTAGCGGTGTTTTCTGATTGAACTTGCCAATAATAGGTTGAAAATTTTTACCTTATGTTTGTTCTTGATGATATGAACAACAATGTGAATGCATTATGGTGAACTTATTTCTAATGTTACAAATTTTGTATCCAGGAGCCTTTTGTAAACATTCCAGAGGATATGATTCGTGAAGCACTCAAAGTTCTCCTTGGTATCAAAACCACTTAACTTTGTCACACCTTCATTTCGATTTGGATTAGGTTAGAGTGTTGTGGATTTGGAATTTTTTTAATACTCACCCGGACTTGTCTGTTATGCAGATGTGAGGAATCATCCTGTTTTAATTCATTGTAAACGCGGGAAGGTATGCACATAATACTTTTTCTCTTCTTATATTTTTACGCAATGATTCATATCTGACTTTTCACAAAATTCTGAGTTGTTTTCTTTTCCTCCTGCAGCACCGGACTGGCTGTCTTGTGGGATGCTTGAGAAAATTGCAAAGGTGGTGTCTCACTTCTGTCTTTGATGAGTACCAGCGTTTTGCAGCCGCCAAAACTAGAGTTTCTGATCAGAGGTTTATGGAGTTGTTTGATATCTCTAGCTTGAAGCATCTACCAATGTCATTTTCATGCTTGAAGAGGTAGACAACCAATTGTATTTAATGGCTTTTGCGTTTTTTTCCATTAGGGGGACGAGAATCTTAGGTCCTGCTCTCGAATAACAGGAAAAGGTGATGAGTTCCGGGATTGCATTTCAGCGGCAGAGGAATTATTCTTCAATTTTCCTCCTTCAGGATAATAAAAAGCATACATATTGCCCTATTCTGTTGTTAAAACAGTCTTTCCATACATGCAACCATTGGCTGTGTAGATCCATGATCATTCTTTCCTAAATTCATAGTTAGCTTTAGCTTTATATAAAGATTTTAGATGATCGATGCTGAATCCTCAGCATGATTGAAGTTTGCAGCTCTTCTCTTTTGAATCCGGTTGGTTAGTAAAGATTATTGTTATAAAATCTAATCAATCAAACTTTTGGTTGTAGAAGAGAAGAGCCATATATCTTTTGATCTTTTTAATGTAATTTGATGGACTAGTGAATCCATTTCGAAGGATAGTTCCACCTTCTGGTTCTGATTGTGACAATAAATTTGTGTTTTAATTTATATAAAAGATTAAGACTTGCTAATAATATACATAGCTTTTCTAAAAATTGTAAATTAGCCTGTCCTTTCACAGTTTCGTGCTCTCTGTTGCTTTTAATGTCAGTGGCCGCAAGTACCCCCACCATAGAAAGTAGTAAGATCATGTAAACTAAACTTGTATGAACCTTAACCTTATTGTTTATTGTTCTCGTACGGTTTTTTTTTTTGTAACTAGGGTGTTCGGGCTAGTTCGTGCGCACTTTAGCTGATCTCCAAGGTCCATTGAACACCCTACAAGTTTAAAAGATCAGGTAAGTCACAATGTGATAGATGACACAAGAACTCAATAAAAAGAGCAAATCTATTTCACCATCAGACCAATCTAGAGGTGGAAAAAATAGGCCGAGTTAGGCGGGTCAACCCTTACCCAACCCGTGTCAGCCTGGACCCGACTCGGCCTAGCTTAAAGGCAGGTTGGGTTCAACCCGACCCGGGTAGGTTGGGCCTTCATAGGCCAACCCAGCAGGTCATATATTTAAAAAAAAAAAAAAAAAACCGTCAAACCTACCAGGTTGGCAGTCGGAAACTCGCGAGTCAACCTGACGAGTTGGTCGTTAGCTGCCCAACAACCAACCCGGCCGACTGTTGGCAACCCAACAGCCAACTTGTCGGGTTGACCCACGAACTGGCGATGAAAAAAAAATAATAATAATAAAAAAATTAATTTTTTTTTTTTACAAAAACTCATTTTACCATTCATATATAACCGTTTTATAGTAGTTAGGGGGGTCTTTTTGGTCATTTTCTTTTCCTATTTTTCTCTATAAATAGGCCTAAACTTCTCATATTTCCTCACATCCAAAATTCTCTCATTTTCTTCAATTGCTTTATTTGCTCTTGCTCTAAAAATCTCTCAAATCTATTTGCTCTCATTTTAATTTTTATTAGTTTTTGCAATTTTCAATTCATATTTCCAAATTCCAATTTTCCTTCTTTAATTCTTTTATAACCATTTTTTTTTTAAACTATAATGGATAGATATTTACATCCCAACATCAATTTCGATGATGAAGAAAATTATCCTAGTCCCCATGAATTTACTAACATAAACGTAGTAGATTCAAACAGTCCCCGCCTTCACTCACAGAAAATGACATTTTGCAACCAATTTTTTAGCAACTAACCAGAATTAGTTGCAAAAAGGCTACATTTACCAACTAAATTGACATTAGTCGAGCAAGAGGATTAACATTTTAGGTCCACATGTTCCAACATTGGCTCTAAAGTTATTTTTGGCGACTATTTTGTTATCACAGAACCGGTTGCTTTAGTGACTAATAATTTAGTTGCAATTTTTTTCGGATGATTTTTCCCTCCAAAATTTGATAATTTGCATCTAAAATATTATATTTTGCATCTACATTTTTGGTTAAAAAAACACTTTTTTGCAACACCCTTAGTAGCTATATTAGTTGCGAATAATTAAGGAATTTATTAGTAACTATTATGATTAGTTGTAAAAAATGAAATTACCAAAATATCCCATATTTGGACAGTAATTACAAGGGCCCCAAAGTATATACGCAACTAAATTTGATTTAGTTGCTAATTAACTTAAAAAATTCATATTCCCCCAAATTATTGTTCCCGCCAGACCTAAATTATAGGCAACTAACATAATTCTTTACTGACTAAATTTTTAGTTAACAATTGACTTATTTGCATAATAGAATTATATTTCAAAATTAAATAACTAATTAGAACCCTTAGGTTTTTAAGTTATTTACAGAATACCAACCTATATAGCAAGCATTTTGTCAATTTCATCTCTTCTCCACGCATGTTTGCCCTAGCTTTTTCCCCAAATTCCCAAAGGCACAACACATTTCATATCTCTTCTGAATGCATGTTTGCCGTCGCTGTTGCCTGAATTTCCAACTACAGAACCTGACTTCATCTTTTCCCCACGCATCTTCATCTCTTCGATCTAACGCTTTTTCATCTTAATCTCTGTGGCCGAATTTCTGAACTGTAGAACCTGACTTCATCTCCTCCCACGCATCTTCATCTTTCAATTGATCTTCTTGGCTTCCTTCATTCATCCAATACGAGGCAGTCCCTAACCTCCTGTAAGTACAATTTTTGATTCTTATTTCTCTCACATGGTAATATTGAATCTGATTTCAAATTTTATAGAGCTGATGTATTTTCGTTTATTGACATTGCATTGATTTTCGTTTATTATACGCGTCCTTTCTTTGTTCACTTAGAGTTGTTTGTGGTTTGATAAAAGATTGAAGTCATGTGGTGTGATGATAAGTTGAAGTATTGGTGTGTTTAATTGCTACTGCAATATTGTTATTTTGATAAGAAGTTGAAGGATTAAATTACTACTTTTTAGCAACTGGTCAATCTTGATTTTGAAGACTGATGTCGTTCTGTGTGTGTTGTTTTGATTTTGGGTGCAGATAGTGTGTGCAAAGAAGTGGAATGTGGACAGGGAGATTACCAACCTTCTATAATAACACTTTCTTTTATGAATGTGTTTGTGATCCTGGGTGGATGCAGACCACTTCGGATGACACTAATCAGTACAAGTTTCTTCCTTGTGTAATTCCTAACTGTGAGCACTCTCGGTCACCTCCCTCTATATAGATAGCATGTTCAACTGTAAGCTAGTCCTATGTTTTCATTTTAATCTGCGCAAGCAAATATCAATTTCTTATGTGTTTGCAATGTTTATTTATAAGATTTGGAAACTTCTTCATATATTGTGATTGGTGATGCATAGAAGTATAATTATGTCAATCTACTTTATACTGTATAGAGATTTCCATTAATTCGATGAATCATAGATAATAAATCCCTATCAATTGGTGGACTAGATCCTTTGCCAATAGGACGCACAAGTTTGAAGTTGGCGATGCCAATATCTTGCGGGGGCAAGTAAATGGAGTCAAATCCTACCTAAAAGGAAAGTATATAATAATAGTTTTTTTTTTCTTTTTTAATTCATGTTGGTGGTGCATGTTAATCACAACCTAATTTGTTAAGACCTGAATATGTTTAGATTTGGTCTAATATCTTAAAATGAGATGTAGAAACACTTGGAAGGTTTGATGCAAAATCGTATCAAAGTTAAAGATTATGACTTTTTATTTTTTAATGCCGCGTGCTTGGACTTATGTATGATCATTGCCATTCTTATTTCTGTTTAATAGCAGTAAATTAGTTTTGGTTTTTGTTGATGTTATAATTTTACTGCATTTCTTCACAAAAAACTGCAACAACATGTTTCACAAAAATTGCAGTCAATCAACTGCCCCACACTGCACAAATCAGCTTCACACAATTCACAAAACTGCATTTCTTCACAAAACTGCAGTCAATTGACTGCTCCACACTGCACAAACGGCATTTCTTCACAGAAAATTGCATCAAAATGTTTCACAAAAACTGCAGCCAATCAACTGCTCCACACACTGCACAAATTAGCTTCACCCACTGCACAAACTGCATTTCTACAAAAAAATTGCAGTCAATTACAGCTTCATACACTGCACAAACTGCATTTCTCGGAAAAAAAAAACACTACATTCAATTAACAGAAAAAAAAAAACTGCACTTCACAAACTGCATTTCTACAAAAACTACAATCATCAACAGCTTAACACCCCACTGCACAAACTGCAATTCTGCACTTAACAACCTGCATTTATTTATTGCATTTATAAGGGTTATATCTATTAAGATTTCAGGGCAAGAAATGTGATTTCCAGATTTCTTTTGTTTCTTTATTATTTTTAAATTTCATGTATGCTTTACCAATAGTGCTTCTTGAGGTAGTATTTGGAAGGTGTGAGTTAAAAGTATTGTTGTTTGAATGCTACATTTATGCTGATTGGGCAAAGGTGCTTGCTGCAAACAACTTCAGTTAGTTTGTCAATCATTTGGATATGGGTGATAAATTCAGGACTAAGCACTTTAAAGGACTTTAAAACTAGTAGCAGGAACATGGGGATCAATCAAAAGCAATTTTCATTCATTTATTGCCCTGTTTGTTGCCTCTTATTCATAGCGGTGTTTTTTCTAAGCCAAAACAACATGCAGTTCATGATCGCATCTCATGCCAATTTAGTCTTATCAATGACAATACATCACTTTGATACAACTATCATTGGGCATTTCATTACTTTGTTGCTTGTTTTGAGGCTACCTTTGAATTTAATTTTAGCCATTGCTTGCTGATTCATTTATTTTGAGTGTGGTATTTCTTTTCATGTAAGGAAAATGACATATTCTTGATAAATTATAAATTATAACCTAATTATTTTGTTGTAAAAGGTATTTGAGGTCTTAAAGTTGACTTGAGAACCGAGGCTAAGAAGACTGCGGGCACCACTGCACTACACAACCATAACAAAAAGGTAAAAGTTACATAATTGATATTAATTAATTTATTGTCGTTTATACCCATTTACATTATCACTATACATATTCTTTGTATGTGAAGTGTTTTAATTGGGTTGAGTATTGTCTTTGTGATGGACATATTTATGATTATTTATATGTTTTGTTTGCGAACGTAGAAGGTCACAATGGATAGAAGATGGATTTGGTTGTCTAATAGGTTGTGCGATAATATATTCAGGAATTGACTCTTTCATAGACATTGCAAAACACATTTGGATGGGGAGGGTAAGACCCGCTGCCCTGTAGATCTTGTTTGAATACAAGATCACATGTTATACACCATTCAGCTACATTGTATAGACATGGGTTTTCAAGAAGTTATGATGTATGGACTTTTCACGAGGAACACTTGAATGTTGGAACCATATTTGATGTCGTGTCTGGCGACAGTGGACAATGAATAGAAGATGATGATGACATCATGGAAATGCTTAATGATGCTCGTGGTCCAGTAAACATGCATATGGATGGGGATCA